CTCTGAGGCTAAACAGTGAGCCATGGCGTGGATGCGAAGGCTGCGGAAAAACAAGTCGCTGCAATACGGAGTCCCGATGATGGTGAGCGGTCGGTGAGATGACGAAGAACAGCTAAGTTGGCAGGGACTGGGAGGGGGACTAGAAAGCGGTTGCACGTTGCAACTTAGCAGGCTATAGCGGACGCAGTATGCTCGGACGTCGCGGCGTTCCGTGCGTTCTTTGGGACGAGCAAGTGAGAAATCCTATTGGCTGGAATCCTATTGAAGGATTACCGTTTTCCTCAAGGCTCGCTCATCGCTGGATGCCACGCCTGTCAGTCTGACGAAGGGGGCGGGCGTTTGTCAACTGAAGGGGAGATGTCGGAAAGTTCCTCATTCTGACTAGGGCATCATTGCTTGAATTGTGTGGTTTCCTTTCTATACATATGAATGGCCTATAACAGTAGTAGTAATTCAGCGTTGCTCAACCCAGAGCCCTCCAGAAGGATTGGGTTACACTTGGATATATGGATCAGGATAATGAGCATTGGACAGCACTTGGTTGAGGACCACTGTGTTGTAGTATTAACACTTTGATTATGTGCCATGAAGTCGGTGTTGACTCTTAGTGACCACATATGTAGATTTTCTCTATGATGATCTGCCCCTAACCTCATCTTTCAGATCTTCCAATAGTGCATGTGTTGCCACTGTAACTCAGTCCGTCCACCTTGCTGGTCCTCTTTCTTTCCACCTTTCCCAACATCAAAGTCTTCTCCAGAGATCTAGTGCTGCTAGGTAACGCTAGGCCTTCACATAATGTGTCCAAAATATGGTGACTTGAGCCTAGTCATTTGTGCCTCAGGTGAGAACTCTGGGTTGATTTCTTCAAAGATCCATTGGTTGGTTTTCTTGGCTGTCCAAAGTTTAAAAAAATGTCAATATTCTTTCTACCCTGCTCCTTTAAAGTCCAACTTTCACTTCCATAGAGTGACACAGGGAAAACCATTGCCTGAACCATTCTAATTTTGATAGGTATAGACGCATCCCAGCATCTGAATATCTTTCCCAAGGCCTTCATGGTTGCTCTTCCAAGTTCTAGTCTGCAGCGTATTTCTTCACTGGTCCTTCCTTTACTGTTGATGATTGATCCTGAAAGGCAGAAGATATCTACTACTTCATTAGCTTCATTGTCAATTCTAATGTTGGTTGCTGTATCTTTTGTGACTGGTTTGGACTTTGTATTTAATTTAGTCCCATTTTTTTCACTGTTCCTTGACTTTCATTACTAGAGCTTACAGATCCTTTGCAATTTCAGCTATTAGTGTCATCAGTATAGCTCAGATTACTAATATTTCTTCCTCCAATTTTAAAGCCATGCTCATCTTCTAAAATGAACAGTAACTGTAGTTTTGTTTTCAAGAGACTGTTTGTTTTTAAGGGTGTCACTAGAGGACAGTTATTAATCTCTTCAGGGAAGGAAAATAATCATTTGATTACTCAGGTATAATTTGATAGGAGAGAAACTGGAACAGCATACAGTGGGACTTGGAATATTTCAGCAATTACTCTGAATCCTATTGTAAGAGGGGCAAGAGGAGTTACAAGTGTAAAGGGTTAGGGGACAAGATTTAATATGCTTCATATATGAGGGAAACATAACACCTTGATTTATGTGACATCCTGTTTTCCATTTGCCTGACAATTAAATACATTCTAGCAAGTGTGAAAGAGTATTTGGTTTAAAGCAGGAATGCTGCTCATGTGAGATACCCCATTTGTCTGTCTGTCTGTCTGTCTGTCTGTCTATTTGCCTGGCTGTCCTTAGAGATTGGCTTGCCTAATTTTTTCAAGCCACATTTTCAAGCCAGCAGGCATAGTGCTGCTGAAGGGAGTACTGCCCTCTTCTGCTCACCCTGTCCACATGAAAAATAGTGCCATCATCAAAACATTCCTCCAAGGAATATTTCTTGAGGTCTTTTGCCTCTTGACAGACTAGGCTTTCAGAACAAAAGGTCTTCTGTTAAATGGACTGCTAAGGGAAGGACATGATTGTAACCTTTTCTGTCATTTTCTGGATTACCTTGCTGATCACTGAGAAAACTTAGAAACGCATGCAGGCTTACAAATTTTATTGTTCACTTTTTGAACTAAAAGCTTTTATTCATTCATTCATTCATTCATTCACTCACTCACTCACTCACTCACTCACTCACT